TTGCCTGACTCCTGCAGGACAAGGAGTGAACCGTTGCCTCAGGATATCTGGAGAGTGACCCTTGCATTTGGAGTTCCTCGCTAAAACCCTGCATTATGACCGGGCCGAATTGAAAAAAAGAAAATACGGCTGTGAAAGTATGAGTGTTAGGCCATTTCATGTAAAGTGTCATTGCACCAGTCGCCCGAATCATATGGGGCACCACGAAGGTTGGAGAAAATTCGACGTATCAACGTGAGCTGTCATTTGATAGGAGATCAGAGGTCAATGCTTGCGGAGCAAAAAAAGGCCAGGAATAGCGTATTCTTAATGCAAGCTCCTAAGTTAGGAAAATTTTGGCGGCAACAGCTTGATTGCAGGTCCGCATGGTCCATCTCAACGGGAATAGGAACGACGTTTGGGCAGCGCTAACAGGCAATCCTCTCAGACATGCGGAACTACTGTGTAAGATAAGAAGATGGACTCGGCCAAGACGCGCGCTAAGTATTCGGGCCAAGAGCCGGAACCATGTGGTAGACTGCACTACGTACTGTAGAGTAGTTTGGATGTTCTACTCTCTTGCTGATTTGCCTGTCTCCTAAGAAAGAGAAGAGCTGCACCGCTGATGGAGAAATTCCAGTTTGAACTTCGAACTATGATCCACCACCGGTTGAACGAAGGTTGACTGGTGATCAAAAGTGCCTTCTCGAAGGCCCCGTTTGCCTTCTTAGTCGGTGATCGGTTCGCTCATGTTGATATCTCAAGCCACCAAATGCTCTGACCACCCATTATCTTCCCACAGATGCAACTGGATAACTCAGGTTATCCGGATGTCTCCACAAAGCCGCGTACGATACGGAGCAAGTATGCCGCAGCATCCATGCAATACATAGATAGATAGATAATAGCAGATCATATCACATCGTTTTGGCAAGAGCTTGCCAAGTGTGATGGGTAAGATGTTCCTGAGGAGTTGCCAAGGTAGACCCGCTGCTACACCATTGTGGGGCGTCTTTAACTCAAACGCACCATCATCCACACATCAGCCCAGCGAAGCGAATAATCGTCGAGTCCGGTTTCCACTCGCTCATGGCTTGTTTTCTCGATTCTCCTTTGGGCGGACCGATATTTGTGATTTCGGCTTATTTTTGGGCACATTGAGAGCACCAAAATTCAACGCAACAACAGAGAACGAATAGGAGATTTTGAAAGCCCCACGGTAGATAATAGCTGGACGACCTCCCTGCAGGGAACCCATGATAACCCTTGCAGCAACCATCTAAGTGGACTCGACTCTCATCACTGACAAGCGGCATATGGCCAACTTCGGATAGTCCAGCCGGATACCGAGGGTTTCAGAAAGTCTTAGAGTGGTTCGCTCGCAGTTTCGAACTGTGTCATGAAGACAGAACAGAACAGAACGGAACGATGCTGAACCCATGCGGGAATAAAATTGAACACCAACCGCAACAAACCGAGGTAGACAATGGAAATGAATGGAAAATTATTCAAGTCGGAAAATTTATGGAAGCAGAGATTCCGGCTCCGTGTCGACTGGGCAGTGAGATAGAAACGATACTTTCTGCGGTGGCTGGTTGACAATCGTCCACATGATCACTATCTTCAGTGCCAATTGTAACAGACTGATTCAGAAGTTCTACGTTCTCTGTAGTAAGGAAATGGTTCTGAGTTGTTGAACTATCAGACCATCAGTGAAGCGAGGGAAATGCAGGTTGGATTGCAGATGCTTCGTTGTACTTGCTCACTTGCACCATGATACGTGTCCAACGGTGGTTGCAACGTGAAACACCATTGTGCATATTGAGGATGTGCTTGTCATTACCACTACATTTGCCAAGGATTTACGCAGGAGCTACGTGACCTTAGATAATCCCCCTTTGTTTTCAATCCTGATAGTCCCGATGCCGTGCTGATTCCCCAGTATGCATGTTGAAGTGGAACTTCTTGCTTGGACGCTTGGTGGCAGGAAACATCATCCCCGCCAATTTCTTGAGCGTCGAATAAGACGATACGGGGTACATTGGCGCAAACTGTATTGGCACTTCGCATTTTATGGTTTTCTCCTTGCTTCAACCACCTCCACGTCGACCGCGTCCTCGATGACCAGCACTCCTGTCTCCATCTCTAATTCTCCATCATCCCGTTTTCTGCTTGTTTCCTTTCTCCAGCTCTACAGTAGGATCAAATCCAGGAGTGTCGATCAGCAAGATCAACATCAACCAGCGTCCGCTTGAGCGTTGAGACTGCTGTCCTTCACCAATGAACGGCGGATGATCATGCATACATCACATTCACTCAAACCCACGCGATGATTCCCAGGTAGACATGCATACCTGGATCTATCATCTGCATCACTCCATCGTGGCGTCGGTGCTCTGCCAGGTTGCCAACAAGAAACTTGATTTCCCACGTCGACGATGGCTGGTTGAAAGGTGCGTAAAATATCGAATCAGAACATCTCATCTATTCTACGTTGGTAGCCTACTTGGTACTCTCATCGGTTTCCTCCTTGCTGCTCAATCGAACCTGTATAAAAGCTTCTTCAGAACGGCCAAGTGCCATCTGGGTCTCTCTTCTCTGTTCTACACGGACAATCACACAACTTCCACTACATATGTCTATAACTTCCAAGTTTTCAACTGCGCCCCTGAAGTTCCCCAGCTCAGCAAGCCACTATCGGATTGCAATCAAATAATATCCCGTCTTTCGAGTATCCAGAAGTGGGTTCCAGCCACTGTACCTGACACATAGTCCCCGCCCGAGCACCGCGGTTCTATCGCTTAAGGACGTTATTCTCCGCAGGCGGTGTCCTAAGTACGCAACTATCGATTCGAATGCGTTGAGCTTTGCCAATACTGGCGGGTTCTCCGGCAATCCCCTTTCTGCTAGAGGTTATGGCGTAGAATCTGGATACTGACCGTTGAAGCGTGGGTCATGCAGTGGTCTTGGAAAGACCATCGTTCAAAGGGATGTCTCACCTCCGGTCCTCCGTAGTCAGCGAACTAGAATTTGCTAGATTGCTCACTCTTCATCATCAGAATGATCATGTGGGTCTTCAGTGTATTACCCATATATCTCTATAAGACTGAGTAGTACGGAGTAACCTCACACCTACCTATCATCGCTCAACATTTGTCCACGCGCCAGAACACTTCATTGAGCCTTAACAAGGAAATCAGTAGTCTCCTTCATACTCTCAATGGCAGGGTCTACAGTCCCTTCATATGCCTACATTCACCTTGGAGACGTGGGCATCCTCGTCAGCGTCGAGGGATGAAAACCCACAACCGAAGTATGAAGGATAAAGGCACCTAGCTAAATCCTTACAGTCCCATGCCCCAAGTTACAACTCACCTTCGCATTCATGCCTTCGTTAACCACGATGCAATGCCAGAACCCCTCCTCGTTCATCTCATCATTCCGCATGCCGTGCCCCTGAAGGATAATGTCTCAAATCTTACCCTTCACCCCTTGCTACGGCCCAGACCGACCTGTCAACGTCATTCCACGTCCACTGCAGCCTATGACGACCACCGGCGCAGAGTTCCGCGTACTAATATAGACACCTTTAGATATTCTTATTCATCTGATTTACCAGACTCACAACCTACACAAACACCGTAGGGATACTGACAAGGCACGGAGTACGGAGCCCAGAATGCAGGTACCAGGTTGTGAATCCAGCTTCATACATACGCACCCAAACTCCATATCAATGTCAATGTCACACAGGAGCCAGGACCATGCCCTTGCTTGCCTTGCTTGATTCTCCCAACTCAATCTCAGCCGGCCTGCTCTTCGATAGCCATAACCATAACCATGGTTGACAGTCGACCAGACATCATGACCATCCAGCATCCAACGCTTCCAATTGAGTGTGTCACCCTGTCCATGATGAACATAGCTGCTGACTGCCGTTCTTGTCTTTGTCTCTCTCACTCCACTTCGTCTCATTGCTACACCCACCAGACCTACACTTCACAATTAACTCGCCATAGAGCACACCAGACCAGACGCGTCCGCGAGTCACTTTCGGGTATGCTGACTTCTTGGAGTGTAAGTTCATTATGTGAGGCCACGGACAAGTCTACAGGCTATAGGAATATCATCTCGTCGTGACAATGTCCATCAAGATAGCTGATCTGTCACCCTCGATACGGTAAACGGTTTCACATTCATGTGCGTGAATGATGTGGAATGGCTAAAAAGCATATGGAGAGATGCCACTAGGCTTTGAACATAAATGAACGTGGGCAAGCTTCATCACTGAGAGCTCTGAAACTAAGGTAAATACCAGATAAATATGAAATAGCAGGACAGCATTCGGCTCAGAGCATTGGGTCCAGCTCAACTCTCGACAGGCCTCAGACCTATACCCGCCCAGTCTACATCATGATTTGATGTACCAAGGACACAAAATATATCATCACCATTACATTTATTTACCTGTCGTCTATAGATACTAGAATAAAAGCAAGTATGAATCACAACCGCGAATAGGATGGACAGGAGGAGATGGCTGCAACTAGCAGCATGACAAGAAAACACACACACGAAGAAAGGTAACACGTAGAATACAACCTGGAAACCGTCAGAGCAATACCTTGTCGCTCTGCCAAGTCTCCGGGTAACGAAATGGACATTTCTCCCCAGACACTCGTAATCCACCCAGTGCTGACCCTGCACTCGCCCCTGCTGCAAAGTGACACCGCCATATGAGCTCATTGCAATGCGAAAGCGACCAGTATCATAAGGTCATTCATTAAACAGTGATAAAAAATCTAGGCAGTAGAAAAAAGGATCTCTGAAGCAAAAGTAAAGGAGCTCGGATTTTTTTGTTTCATGCGCACGAAAAGCGGTTCGCGTGGTGTCGGTCATCATCGGAGAGCTCAGACCAGTTTAAAGAATGAGGAACACGGGACGATCTTTCAGGCGGTATCTTGAAGAGGAACCGCTGAGGGTGAGTTCGACCCCTCAATCATCCGCAAGCTGCTCCGCATCTAAGCCTTGCGAGAACGAGTGACGGGGCCATTAGACCGGCCACTCGACACTGCCGCTCCGTTTGTCGTGGCGCTGCCATTGGTAGCAGGAGAGACGGAGGGGACCTCAAAGTTCTTCATGTCAACCAAGGACTGCTTTCCAGTGTTGCGACGAGGGCGACCAGTTTTGGCGGTCTTCTTGTAGGTGGCAATGTAGAAGGAGATGAAGAGGAAGAGGTAAGAGCTGATGATAGCAATGCCCGAGAGAGCCGCAAACTCCTCTCCGGCACACTTGCCCATGTTGGGAGCCCAGGGGAAGTAGGTAGAGGAGAAGTAGGTGTAAGAAGCGAAGTAAACAAAGCCTAATGTTCAGTTAGCATCCACGTAACAAAGGCATATTTCCAAAGTGCTTACCAAGATCAATGACGAACTGGATAATCTGGAGACGGGTGATCCACTCCTTCCACCAGATGCGAATGCCACGAGCACTCTGGAAGTAGTACCAGTACATAACAACGTGAACGAGCAGGTTGATATCAATGACAACCCACTGGACAGCAGTCAAACCGATAAGCTGAGTGTAGCACAGGAGGGCGGTGGCACCATGGTGGTAGGTATGAAGGAAGGTCAAGGGCTTCTTCTTGAGGAACAGGAAGACGGTATCGAGAAGTTCGAGGTACTTGGTCAGATAGTTGAGCTGTCCTCTGTGTCAGCGGGCCAGCGCTTCAAGCCTCACATCAGAAGACAACTTACATAGTACAAGACGATGAGGGGCTGGGTCCATCCACCCTGGTGATCGCAAATGGTGAAGAAGAGACCGTGTCTGTAGAGCGTAGGCACGAGTTGCTCAATGAAGAGAGCGAGTAGAGTTGCGCTGATCGCGGTCAGGTAGAAGTTGTGGATCATGAACAGTGCGTTGAGCTTAAAAGCCGGGCGGTTCTTCATCACCTCGCGACCACCGAAGATGATGATGTAGTAGGCCACAAGCGCAATCGCCGTCTCCTTGAAGGTAGACATTGGCGTCACACCCTCGACAAACTTGAACTCACTGGCTGGGTAGCCCACAACGACCTCGAAGGCCTTGTCGAAGATGGGCCATAGGTGAATACCAAAAGGCCGATCAATTGTCGGACGGGGCAAGTTCTGCAGTAATTCGAGCGCCATGATGTGTAGTGCAAGACGTATCTATTAGCGAGATAGGTCGTAGATAGGGAACAGCACGGAACGTTGACTGGAAGGGAACCCCTTAAACGCGACCCTGAGTTTTTGTTGGGGTTACACTGCAAGCCGTCAACGCGGCCGGAAAAGCGTGCAAACAAGAAGAGCACTCAAGGAGTGACTAACGAAGAGAAGAATTGGAGAAGAGAAAGGAAGTAGTAAGAACAGGAGGAAGAAGGAGAATAAGAAGAAAGAATACGATGCAGAGAATCTGGGAGATTGGGGCTGCAACGAGATAGATAGACAGAGGGAAGAGAGGGTGGAGCGAGTTTTTTTGAGGACAGCGGACGAGACGTGAGAGAGGCTGCTTCCTTGGGCTGCTTTGGTACGGTACCTTAGGTTTGTCCGCAAGGAGAGGATCGAATCAGAAGTGCCCAATGGCCGATCGTCCCCTTCTTTGTCGGGTCTGCCGGCGTGTCCGCAGCCGCCCAAGAGGGACTAGCGTTGCCTCGGTCGCCTGAATATTAAGGAAATAAGGGGCACCTTTCACTTTCTCTTTTAGCGGATCATGTGCTTCCGAGATTCCGCGTGTATCCAGCACGCAACATCATAAAAGTATTTATGTAGATGCTGCCTCTTCTATGTCTACTCATAGTGAGGACGAGGAAGGTATTTATATCAGTGTATTGATCCCACTCAGGGAGTGTCGCCTTCAATGTTGATCCCCATTTAGTTGAAATCACAGAGGAGAATGGGGATCAATCGTCTTGAACCGCAAATTGAGCCGGCTTTCACATGCTCGATTTACCATGTATCACAAACAATAGTACAAAAGAAAAGTTGACACCGAAACAAACTCGATTTCAACTGGTTGAAATCTATCTTGGCGTCTTTAATAACATTGCGCTCCTGCAGACGAAGACAAATGAAAGCATCTTCACTGACTGGTCAAGTAGCACAAATACGGAGTCGAAGGTGGTACCATGGTAGAAATCTGAACTCGTTCAACAATGGGGCGTCTTGATTTTTGGTTTAAGCTGATCCGCATGTTAGCTGATCGAGAATCAGAGGAAACCCAGGCTAGTTAAAATGAGGCTTGCGATGTGATGCTTATGCTGCACTCTAGGTTTCAAACGGCCAAATGACTACAAAGTACAGAGTTGATCTAGGCATTATGTTACATTCACTTGATGCTCGACTCCTACTGCACATTCGTTGCATCGATACCTTAAGGTATTCAATGGGTGGCTAGATACTGTATGTTTTTGTATTGTCGGGTTCAAGCTGGGCCATTGTGGTCTTCAAGACATGCAGTGCTTCGCATTTGCCGAAACTTCCACGCAGCAAAATGTCTCTCTGAACACTCCAGCATCCCGAACTTTTAAATTTCCATAGAAGGGAGTATGAATTTCGAGTCTGACATCCGGTGTGGAGGCCAGCTAATAGGCATTAGCATGTTCTCGTAGTAGTCAAAATGCCTACCAATTCAGGTTGTCCTATTGAACATATTCTTGCAGCTGCGTTGGGCTTGGCCGCGGGCAGCTGCATCGACAGCACAATGAAACCCAGCAGAGATAATTTGATTGGCTCGAATTTGATTCTCAAGATTAGACTCCCCCCTGACAGCATAGGACGGATGACATACATACTGTAGGTAGCTTGATGACTTCCACTAGTTATCTAGATGTGAAAATCACTGGCCTGTTCTCAGAATAAGGCTACAACTAGCACGGTAGTTGCACCGGAGAGGCTGGTGCGGCTAACTGTTGCATATGATAGAACGGTTAATAAAGCCATCGACTCAATGCAGAATAACCATGGTCAACACTGAGGATTTTGCTGTAGTCAAAGTTATCAAGATCTCGTCCATCAACAACTGATGATATAACAACTGTCCAATCAGATATGCCAATTGCATTGACCATGCACTGCCCAATCAGAAATGGCAAAATGCAATCAAACTTGGTAGCAGCCTCGATGCCTGAGGCATCTGCAACGTCGGGCATGCACGGGAGCCGCAAATGGACCAGTTGTGGTAAGTCATGACAGCGACCGGAGAAAACCTGAGGCATCCACAACCTCACACCACCCGCAAAATCCTAGCGGCAGCCGGCTTGTCCTCTGACTTCCAACCTCGTCTACGTCTTGCCGTCGTCCTCCACTCCCCCCAAAAGCACGTCAATTCAACCACCCTCCCCTCCCATTTCACTCCTCTCGCAATGGCGTCCCTGTCTATCTTCCGTATTGCGACACGCGCCGTCCGCCCTTCCGGCTTCATCAGAGCTACTCAATTCCCCCGGTCCCGCGTGCAGGCCCCGGCTGCTCTGGCACTCAACCGTCCTAGCTTCAGCACCACCACCAAGCGTCTGTCCGGTGCCCACGAGGATGAGACATACGAGGAGTTCTCTGCTAGGTATGCTATCACCATTAGCCAGCCATTGGATGCGATTTGAGCGAGGAAAGGCACAAAAGGGCGATCGCAGGGAACTTCTCCCCCGGATCGGATAATACTTGTGATGCCGATTCCCGACTTGCACAAGCAGCCGGTTGATTCAAGGAGATTGTCACACTGACTCGGCATTGGACAGATTCGAGAAGGAATTCGACGGTGTTCAGGATGTCTTCGAGCTCCAGGTAAGCCTGACCTGACCCGCTCGCACATACGGCAAATTCGTGTCACATCATCATCCGCTCTCGAAATCATATGATGAAGATTAGCAATTTGCATTGGCCTTCTCTCCTCTATGATATGTGACGCTGATCAATTATCCGCTACAGCGTAACCTCAACAACTGCTTTGCCTATGATCTCGTCCCCTCCGTCGAGGTCCTCTCCGCCGCCCTGAGGGCCGCCCGCCGTGTCAACGACTTCCCCACTGCCGTCCGGATTTTTGAAGGTGCGCCTCTGCCCCAATATCATTCACTGCTTTTTCTTTTTTACAAATACAGACGCTCATGTATTGTGCTTGAACAGGTATCAAGGCCAAGGTTGAGACTCAGGACCAGTACAAGCAGTACCTCGAAAGCCTGGAGGGTCTGCGCCAGGAGCTCGGTGTTGCTCTGCGGGAGGAGCTCTACCCCAACGAGGAATAGATGCGTTCGTTCCAGACAAAACGTCCGCAAGAACTCTGCGTCTTTGTTAAGTTGATAAGATAGGAAAGCTGTATACATACTTTAGAATACAGTTGGAGAAGGTCTCCATGGTCTGGTTGATTGCCTAATTGTCCATTTCTGACCTGGAGGCTGTCGACTCGGGGGTTGAATGGAGGTGCACATGTGCTTTTCTATACCAGTGCTACTATTATAAAGCTTGTGACGTTTGCTTGTACTCTGTACTATTGAGGATAGCGAAGGAATCTGAGGGGTTGTCCTTTCTCTACTGTCACCAAGTAAAGGCCCGAGCTCATAACGTTACATTCGACAGATGCGACGAAGGAAGACTTTGATGCACAAATCCCATTAATTTTCTTAGTACATGGAGATCGAGTTGGATATAAGAATATAGGTACAATGAAGGCCGGTCCAGCGATCCCCTCAAGGTAGCAACACACGGCTGACATATAAATGACAAGTATTAAAACAAAGAAGATACAACAAAAACTCAGAACCACCCCCTGGGAACGCCCCTATAAACCTGAAAAAAAGGTTTTCAAGCACTCGTCGTCATCAATGCTGGGTATGATATAGAATGGTGTGGGTCATGACAGTTGCTTCTGCAGTTATACACATTGCATGCCATATGATGAATCTTCAGAAATTGAAAAAGAAACATTTTGATGGGTTAATGCATCCCCACATGCTTAAAGTAGCTGGGTCTGCAGTCTTCCTTGGCGAGGAAGGGTGCACCAGCGTAGAATTGCCCAGGGGTGCATTTAGAGCACTTTGGTGAATTGGGACAGTTGAAGTAGGGAATGTGATTGTATCCAATGTCCCGGAACCTGCGGGAGAAAGTGAGAGTTAGCTGTGAGCATTGGCTCAATCAAGGAATAACATACCAGTGAACCTTGGATGCGTCAGCAAACAGCCCCAAGCCAATGGAATGAACTGGAGCGTCGCCCCATCGCTCGTAGAAGAAACCACCGGCACGGTCAAGATGGTTGAAGTAGGCATCGTACTGCTGTCCTCTGAAGAAATCCAAGTCACCGATTTCAAAGTTCGACCAGAAGTGGCAGGTAGAGTATCCATTCGCCGCCTCCGTGTGGTCTGGCCGCAGCGAGTTGTCCGTCAACCATCCCATCATGTTGTTGCTGGAGAGATAAGAGGGGTTTGCAGCCAGGAACTTCTTAGTCTCTGGCCAGAGGTTGGGGATAGTTTTGGGATCGTCGAAGAGATTGATGGTGAAACCATAAGTAAGGTTTCTATCCTCCATGAATCGGAATACATCGTAATCAACGTTGCAGAAGAACTGGACCTTCGGCTCAACACGCCAGTAGTACTTGTAGTTCTTAAGAGCGGGATGCTTGTAGAACATGCCACTGTTCCACCGGCACATTTGATGATACGAGAGCTTGTCGCTGTACTGGATCTTCTGCTCAGTCAGAATCGCCGCAGACTCGCGGAAGAGTTCCATGCTGATCCATTCCGGAGGGTCCCAGTGTTCCTTTGGCACTTGCTCTGGACATATTGTCAGGTTTCTTACATTGAATGGAAATAAGATCGGGAACAAATACCATAATAGCACTTTGCCTTCGTCTCTGCTTGCGTGCGCTTTTTGAATTCTTCCGTGAAGGGCTTGTCGTTGAAGAAGATCCAGGGGTAGTTGAATTTAGAATTCCAGGTCCGCTCCAAGTCTTTCATTGTCGGAATAAGGTCGTTCAGCTCTTCATTGCGGACGAGGGAAATGAGAGCAGCGTTCGTGCGGGCGGAATGGGCGCTGTCGGGGGCATAGTCGTTGCCTTCGGCTCGCCATAAATGACCCTCGGGTTCGCCGGTCGCTGCAATGTAATTTCATCAGTACGTGCGAGAGACACAGAATTGAGGAGTTATAAGACAAGGCTGCCAGGGAACCTCAAGTGAGACTCACGATCTAAAAGGGGATCTTTCTTCATGCCATTATAATCTTTTGACCCCTTACTAATGAACGATGGGCCGTGACTTTGGTTGACCTGAAAGATCAGAAAGAGACACAGTAGGATGCATGCTGCACCTAACATGCGGATAGGCCTCGCCACAGCCATCTTGACTGCTTGATTGCGAAAACCGATGGCGAGGGGGAAGTAAGAGGAAAATTGGCTGCTGTCGTCGACTTCCTCCCTCCTCTGGCGACTCTATCTCTGTCGGACCAGATGCCACTTATCCCGAAGAGGAATAGCGTGGTCATAAATAAGCAACACGTCACGCTCCCCGGAGCAGACGGAGAGAGATTCGTCTTGACGTCTACAGGCCTGGATGCCGCGTAACCCCGGCTCGATCCAAGGTCCTAGGAGTCACCAGAAGGGGTTGTCGATGAAACAACGATGGGGGATCATCGGGGAATATTCCTCCTGACTTCCAACTTCTACGCTGACTTGTTGCATTTGCAACACGCGTCGAGATGACTCTCCCCGAGGAAATTGGTGCGCTAACGGATGAGCTAATTTTGGCTATCACAAAGATCGATCCGACTGTATGGGGTACTATCATTACTTTGAGCGCTCCGCTGTTACTAATGTTAGCCTCTAGAATACGTCACGACTCAAAAATCTAAAGCATCGTGTCGAAGACACGTTCAAATCCGCCTCTCATGGCCGGACTGACCAGTTTGCGGTCTCAAAACAGCTAGAGGGCCTGCAGGAGAAATTCCAGGTTCTCAATAAAGATGATCTGGCGGACGCACTCCGGAGTCGCTTGACTGAATTAGATGAACACCATAGCTCATGGTTTCCTGAAATACTATCTTTCCTCTTGCAGCTCTCTGCTCGCCCTGCTGTGTTTTCGCGGGTAGACCGACTCCCAAAGCCCAAGGTTGATGAAGATGCGAAGCAACTCTCTTGGACGGAGTTGGACGCCTCGGGATCCGCGTATTGTGGTGAAGATATCTGGGAATGTGTAAATTTCGGCGCAGATTCCTCATCCGAAGAAGATGACGATCTTGTGTCTTCGGGGCGCAGTGACGCCTCAATCCCACAGACTCTACCTTCCAGTCCCATTGCCTCCGAAGAAGACTATGAAATTCCCGACGAAGTCTTTTCTCCTGGAATGGATGTGGTTCTTGTGGACTCCGTTAGGGAAGCCCAATTCTGGAGGCCGAAAAAGCACGCAGAATCCAATCAAGTCGATAACTTTTCCTGCCGTGTGGTCACCGAGCTTCAAATTGTAAGAGAGACATTGTTCATGTTGCAGGGTTTGCCAACGTCTCTATTTTGGCGACTCGATGACAGCATCGAGGTCGATCGACGGTATACTCTTATACACACCTCGACCGAGGCCCTGTCCTCCCTTTTGCGGTCATTCAGCATGATTGGCGCCAAGGTAGATGTTATAAGACGCTTCATCAAGATCACCCAGGTTGTTCTCTATATGCAAACCTTCCACCGATGTGTTGAGGACCGCCTAAAACAGTTTGACTCGTTTCTGTCGGAAGTGCAAACTCAATGTATTTCGCAAGGGGCGACTTTTTCCGTCAGCCTACTACAACTGGCCGAAGATGTCCGCAGCGCATCAGCGATGCTCGTGCTTCTGGCCGATTTAATCTCCAATCTCAAGTATAACACTCCAGACGACGGCGTACGGTGTCTTGACCTATTGTACGATGTGGTATGCATGAAGCAAGCTACAGGGGACGATGACGAGTTCAGATTCCTGGCAGACTTGTTCTTTTCATGTCTCGAAACCTACATTCGTCCGATCCGTCGTTGGATGGAGGAGGGACGACTGGACTCAAAAGAAGGCATATCCTTTGTCATAGACCGAGGTGGCGATAAAGATCTACGGTCGCTTTGGCGCGGATGGTATGCCGTGGACGACACAGTTGGGCTTCCACAATTTATGAAGCCCGTTGCTCAAAAGATTTTCACTGCGGGTAAAAGCATGGTCTTTCTGCAACACTTGAATGCTCTGGAGATACCGGAAGGCTCGGAGACGAATATCCTCACCCTGGAAAGAATCTACGGTGGTGACTCAAGCTCCTTACTCTGTCTTCCCTTTGCCGCCATATGCGGGTCCGCTATAGACAAGCTCGTCGAGGTTAACCACTCCTTTGCGTGCGATCTGCTGCGAAAAGAGCTTGATCAGCAATGTGGACTGTGGAAATCACTGCAAGCCTTGGAACACATCTACCTCTGCAAGGACCTCAGTGTGTCAGCTATTATCGACAACAAGGTCTTTGACCTCATGGACCGCGGCAGAGGCGCCTGGAGCGACAGATATCTCCTCACCGAACTCGCACAGAGCGCTTTTAGCAGCATGTCTTTCATCGACCACTCAAGAATAATTGTCCGCTCACACCAGGATCCGCAAGGGCGCAGCCGCTCAGTCAAGGCCCTCAGAACCATCTCATTTGATTACGTCCTCCCTTGGCCCATCGCAAACGTCATCCCCAAAGACGCCATCCAAAGCTACCAGCGCATCTCGACATTCCTGATGCAAATCCGCCGAGCAAAGCACCTGATCGTAAAGCAGCGTCTGAAATACACCAACGAGACGGACGAATTCTCCCATGACAGGAGCAGCAACGCATTGAGCTACTCTCTTCGGCACCATATGCTGTGGTTCCTGAACACCCTCTACAGCCACATTACGGACTTTGTCATCTCCACAGCGACAGAGTCATTGCGCAAGTCCCTCTCCGCCACACAGGACGTCGACGCCATGATCGCAGCGCATCGCGCGTACCTGTCCTCCCTGGAAGACCAATGCCTCCTCTCCAGCAATCTATCACCTCTCCACCAAGTAACAATCAACCTCCTAGATCTCTGCGTGTATTTTGCAGACATCCAAGCGGCACGCTACGGGGACAAGACGTTAGATCAGAGAACGCCGACCAAATACGCCAAGTCTTCGCAAAGCAGAAACAATCTCAGCAGAAGGAAGCCTCGGGGTAGATACACCGACAACGCGATACAAAGTGATGATGAGGATGACGACGACGACGATACACAAGATGAGTCGGACGAGGATGTTGGCAATACCACCGGCATCTCCTTTCACGAGGCACCCTACGCGCATCGACTGAGGGACATTAAGGGTCACTTTGACCAGTCGCTTGCGTTTCTCACTGCTGGTTTGAAGGGTGTGGGTCGCGTGGATGGTCAGATCAGCTGGGAAATTCTGGCTGAGAAGCTGGAGTGGCGTAAGAGGCGGTTAGCCGTTTAGTTCTCGGCGTGATGTGATGAGGCGATGATTCTACTGTCATGATACCTTGCTATGATATCCACGTTGCTTTGCTGTTCAATGGTTTAGAGGTCTACGTAACTAGATTATGAGCGATATGACTTGCTCAAGGGGGTAGGATTCGAAAGTCAAGGTTGAGAAACGCTGTAAATATGCTTGTATTTCTCTTGGATCCATCATAACAATTTGGTTCGATCATCCTAAGGCATCGGACTCATCATGCAGAACATAAGGTGTAGATATTTTATATACCAAAAAGAAGTAGTAACCTCCCCATCAATTTTGGTTTTCGCTGTACATCACGCCCAATCTTGGACCAGACTAGAGAAAGAGAAGGAAAGAAGTCGCAAACGGAATCCACAAGTTTAGCCAACCCATCTTCTGGCGCTGAAGAACACACGACCCCATGGACCAATATCGCCCCACTCTTCAGCATTAGGAGGCAGCCAGCTGGCAATACCGCCCATCACGGTCCGCTCGGGGTGGGGCATGATGGCGAGGACACGGCCGTCGGCGCTGCGAATACCGGCAATACCCTCGGGACTGCCGTTGGGGTTGAATGGATACTTCATGGTCGGCTTGAGGGTGGCGTTATCGACATACTGGACGGGGGCTAAGCCTTCACGAACGAAATCTTGAGCGGAGGTGCCGGGAGCTGCGGCGAATGAAGCGCGACCTTCTCCGTGAGCGACAGCAATAGGGAGCGAGGAGCCGTTCATGCCATGGAGGAAGACACTGGGATTGGCAGGGTCGGGATCCGAGATACGGACCATGCAGACACGGCCTTCGTACTGTTCGCTGGCGTTGCGTTCGAAGCTGGGCCAGTTGGATGCGCCAGGAATCAATTCCTTGAGTCGGGAGAGGAACTGGCAACCGTTGCAAACACCGAGGGCAAATGTGTCGGGACGCTGGAAGAAGCTCTGGAACTCAGTGCGGGTATTCTCGTGCAGCAGGACTGACTTGGCCCAACCCTGACCGGCACCGAGAACATCACCGTACGAGAAACCACCACAGGCGGCAAGACCGACAAAGCTGGAGAGAGAAACGCGGCCAGAGATGATATCGGTCATGTGTACATCAACGGCAGAGAACCCAGCGACATTGAAGGCAAAGGCCATCTCCGCTTGACTGTTAACACCTTGCTCACGCAAGATGGCCACACGTGGCTTGTTGCTGAAGGGAGACTTGAGGCTGGTGAGAAGGGGCATGGCCCGGTCCTTCGGGTCGAAGGTGGGGTTCCATGACAGACCGGGGTCGGTATCATCCAGGATGTTCGAGAATTCCTGTTCCGCGCAGGCAGCGTTGTCACGGATCTTCTGCATGTGATACGAAGTGGTAGCCCAGGTCTGCTGGAGGTTTGCGCGGTTGTTGCGGTAAACCAGACTGGCCTTGTGGTAGATGGCGAGATTCTGCTTCGGCCTTTCGGAAACACGACCGATCTTGTGGATCAGGCCAGCAGGGGGACCGCAGGTGGCAAAGCAAGAGCGGAACTGAATCTCGTGCTCTTTGCGCACCTGGAAGACCGCACCCAGTTCTTCTGTGAAGAGGGTCGATACAAGATCTTGTGTGCTATTGGTGGGGCAGATGTTGTCCAACATGATTTCCACACCGCAGCGTCCGGCAAACATCATCTCGGCAAGAGTAGTGAAAAGACCACCATCAGATCTGTCGTGATAGGCCAGAACTATGCCTGCCTCCTGGAGCTGCTGAGTAGCGTCGAAGAAGTCCCTGAAAATCTCCACATCCCGGAGATCGGGGCATTCATCTCCAACCTGTTTGAAGACTTGAGCGAGGGCTGAGCCGCCCAGGGTCTTGCGGCCGAACGAGAGATCAACAAACATCAGAACAGTCTCACCGACATCCTCAA